AAAGGGTTACATCTCTATAGTCCGACGTCCCATTGGTCCGACGTCGCATTGGTCCGTCCCATTGGTCCGTCCCATTGGTCCGATGCCCCATTGGTCCGACGTCGCATTGGTCCGAAATGTTGTTCCTTTATAGCTCCAAAACAGACAGTTCTCATTGCTCCACAATCACTTCTGCAACCCCAAGCAATCTTCCTTTCCCCTAGACCTTCAGATATCCAACAGTATTTGGACAAAAACAATGACTTTCTTATCCATTATTTTTCAAGTCGACGCGCGTTGGAATCAACACATCATCTGGCATAAGCTGGCACGCTTCTCTTCATTTTCATGCTTTTTCCTTCATCATTCCCATCATTTTTACCCCATATTTCAAAAAAGCCATAACCTTGTCCTCATTCCATGACACTCATGCTGCTTTTTAGTATCGCCAGGTATTTGGTGGGTCCAATAAAAGAAAATGGATTTAGTTGTCTCACAGAATACAGAAATTGGCCGCCGAAGTACACTTTTACCAGTTTACTATTGTCATTGCTGTCAACCTCGTTCTTAGGGTGTCGAGCAGTACGCTCACACCACTACCTGCTCTCTCACCCACTAATGGATCATTTCATTCGCATATCCAACATTTCATTGGATACGTATGCAAATGAGAAATAGTTACCCTAATAGTAAACCTAAAATATGCAAATAGCTAAAAATGGAGTCATGACGCAACTACTTTTTCTAGTCATAGGTCTATTAAAGAACCTAAAAATCCCTGGATTACCAAAGGTCTACTCAAGTCTATAAAAAAGAAAAATAAACTGTATAAAGTATTTCTTACAAAACCTGCTGAGATCAACAAACTCAAATATAACAGATATAAAAACAAATTAACCACCGTTATTAGAGCCTCCAAGAAAATATATTACTCAGAGTCTTTTGGGCAACAAAAAAACAACATAAAAAATACCTGGAAAATCATAAATGAAATTTTAAATAAAAAGCGCAAAAACATCAAGCCAATTAACTCGATCAAAATAAACAATAATGATGTTAACGACCCTCAAACGATTGCAGAGCATTTCAATCAACATTTTGTTAACATTGGTCCAGATTTAGCTTCTAAGATACAACATAGTACTTCTGACCCTATAACACATATCAAAGGTAACTTTCCCGATTCTCTATTCTTAAGCCCAGTCACCGAGGAAGAACTATTTGATTGTATCAGTAAACTTCCAAATAAGAAGAGCTCTGGTCATGATGAACTTGATAATATTTTGATAAAAAATATTGCTCCTTTTATTGTTCACCCTTTAACAGATATTTTTAATCACTCTTTAATTTCCGGAGAGGTCCCTAATGAACTTAAAATTGCTAAAGTTACTCCAGTTTACAAAAATGGTGATCGTTCCAATGTCACTAATTATCGCCCCATATCTGTATTGCCATGCTTCTCAAAATTGTTAGAAAGGTTAGTTGCAAACCGTCTAGAAAAATTTATTGCTAAATTTAACATACTGTCACAATCTCAGTATGGCTTCAGGGCCAAATATTCAACTGAACTTGCCTTGATTGATTTAGTTGATAAAATAACATCTAGTCTGGACAAACGTGAACATACAATTGGTATTTTTTTGGATCTTTCTAAGGCATTTGATACAATAAATCATGATATTCTAATTAATAAACTACAAACATATGGTGTCAGAGGTACTGCACTCGAGTGGTTTAAAGATTACTTGAGAAATAGGAAACAATTTGTTGTCTGGCAAAATAAAAAGTCCAATTACAAACCAATCACATGTGGTGTACCTCAGGGCTCAATCCTAGGACCTATCTTATTTCTTATTTATATTAATGATATTTGTAATTCTACTCGACTTCTGACGTTCATCTTATTTGCAGATGATACAAATATATTTTACAGTAGTAAACATTTGAATGATGCTGTTGACATAATGAACAATGAGCTTACTAATGTATTTGAGTGGTTTGTATGTAATAAATTATCTTTGAATTTTAAGAAAACACATACGATGGTTTTTACAAATCGAATTGTAGATAAAAGTATTCAGATTCGTTTTAACAATCATCATATTGAAAAGGTTGATTCCTGTAAGTTTTTGGGGGTCATTATTGATGATAAGTTAACGTGGAAAAATCATTGTCAGAAAGTCCTTACACTTATATCTCGCAACCTTGGTATTCTTAGAAAACTTAGATATTTTGTCCCATCCCGTGTTCTATTTTCAATTTATAATACGTTATCCTTGCCTCATCTTCAATATGGTATACTTGCCTGGGGAAATACTCATAAAACCTACCTTGATAAATTGCTCGTTTTACAGAAGAAATCTTTAAGACTGATTAATGGTTCTAGTTTTAAGGATCACTCTGCCCCGCTATTTGTTAAGTTCAACACCTTATCTGTATATGATCTTTATAAATATAAATTGTGTGCTCTGATGTATAATTTTGAAAAAAACATACTGCCTTTGAATATTAAATCGTTTTTTGTAATGAACACAGATATTCATCATTACGACACAAGATCGTCAAATAAGCTTCATCTTAATAAAGTTAGAACATCTCTACACCTCTCAACTGTACGACACCAGGGGCCCCTCCTTTGGAATAAAATTCGATCTCTCTGCCCAATGACCTCAATTAGAGCATGTAAATTGTATTATAAAAAACTACTTCTCTCTACGGTTAATGTCAATGGTGATTAAGAGCAAAATTATTACTTTATTGCCAAGTAAAATTATTAACAACACATGTTAAGTCAAGGATGGTAAATTTCCCTCAAGTAAATTATTCTTTTTTTTTGTAAAGTTTTGCATGAGCTCGTGAATTTAATGTAATGTAATCACATATTATTGATATATCCTATGATTATTCATGAATTGTATAACTACATGTATTCTTTGTGAAGGGGGCAGACCTAGTACAAGCTTCGGCTTCTTGTCTGGCCTCCCCATACTATTATTTCAAAGTTTCGTTAAAATGTTTACCTGATGTATATTATTCAACTGAATTACCTAATAGTATGGAAATAAACCTGAAACCTGAAACCTGAAACCTATTAATGAAACATTGCATGTTTAACTAAATTCCTTAATTTCCTATTAAATTTTCAATAACTAGGAAAACCAGTCAGTATATTTTGACTACATGTAGAGGGACCACTTACAATACTGGCTAACTTCGCTGGGCCCCCACCCCCCGGCCCCCGCTCAATGCTGTCTCTCATTGCGCGGTCTGTGCTCCATCTCAGCTGGAGAGAACAACATTGACCGGGGGAGCGGGGAGTGGGTGACCGTGGGAGGCTAAGGTCATTTCCAGGTGTCCCAACCATTTTGGCCGGGATTGAATAGCTCATTTAAAGCCATTGATTGAATCACCTCTGCGCTTGCAGCATGATTTTTTTTATGATTGTATAACCAAATGATGAAGTTAATTAATGACGCACATTTCAAACATGCAAATAACAAGCGATATAGGTTTCAACCACGCGAGGCTTGAAATCAATTTGATAAGTAACAAGTCCATCAGATAGGGTATAGCGCCGGAAACCTTACGGTATATCAGGCTTTAGTATGTTTTTCATACGAGTCAATAATTCCAACAAAAGTCTGTGAATGTGACATGTTTTAATCTAAGGCCAAGCTGAATCGATAAAGCTCAAATATATGGGGTGCTCCAATCGGAGCTAGTAATCAACAGAAAATGATTTCACTGGTTCGTTCATTGGCACGCTTCCTTGTGGTTTATTCAAGAATTTTAAGTAAAATGTCTGAAGTAATCAGAAAGTCTTTAAACACGTTTCGTGTTGTTTAAATAACTTCACACTGAACAATTAATTCTTTACATTCCTCTATTTAAAAAAAAAAACCCAGAAGCAGCAACTAAATAATTCTGAAAACGAATAGGACTGCTGCAAACTGCTTTCTGACTGGATTTACCTGAAATATAACAGTCTGAAAAAGTAATGCGGCAAGAGGATGCTGAAGTTCTTTTTCAAAGGCAAAATGACGGAGGTACAAGAAACAAACGTGGGGATTTACAAGCAAGCAGGGTTGGGAGGAGAAATACACAAGTGATTATTTGGGTGGGGCACTAGTAGGTGAACATCACAGAGGATGGGGTGGGAGGACTAACAAAGGGTTACATCTCTATAGTCCGACGTCCCATTGGTCCGACGTCGCATTGGTCCGTCCCATTGGTCCGTCCCATTGGTCCGATGCCCCATTGGTCCGACGTCGCATTGGTCCGACGTCCCATTGGTCCGACGCCCCATTGGTCCGATGAAACATACTGCGTATTTCTACTACTGGTTCATGTTGACAGACCCTAACCCTAACCCTAATTCTAACCCTTACCCTAGCCCTAACCCTAATCCTTTGAGGCGTCGGACTAATGTGACTTCGGACCAATGTGACTTCGGACCAATGTGACTTCGGACCAATGGGACGTCGGACCAATGGGACGTCAGACCAATGGGACTTCGGACCAATGGAACGTCGGACCAATGGGACGTCAGACCAATGGGACGTTTATACCAATGGAACGTATAGAGCAATGGGCCGTCGGACCAATGGGACATCGGACCATGGGACTTCGGACCAATGGGGCTTCGGACCAATGGGGCTTGGACCAATGGTACTTCGGACTATAGAGACGTCCCCGGGTGGGGTTGCCCCCCCCCATCAAAAATTGGATACGCCTTTATCATCAAATGATCATTTCTATCATATTTTGCACCAATCTGCCTGACTGACTAAATGGAGATGAAAGGGAAGGAGTGGACATCATCCCAACAATAGATACTAGAGTGTGATGGTGGGTTCATTATTCTGTCATGCATGAGATATCTACAGCTGTATAGTCACAATTGTTTTCAAGGATATATAGAAATGATATGATATCTCCGGATAAAACATGTGCAATAATATTTTGTCACAGCTCAAAAGTCTATAAAAGGGCTTGTATACTTCTGGAACTGCTGATGTTCTCTTCTGGTAGACCTGTAAAGTCGGTACACAATGAATACATTGATTCTTTTGGTGTTGGTTGGCGTGGCTGCAGCTGATTTTGCGCCGCTGCTGAGAGTTGATGACAGCCCCAAAGGCCGTTACCTCATCAAATTCAAGTAATTACGAGACTCTACAAATGTATTTTAAATTATTGGGTTACGATATTTGCTATTTAATTATTTGTTCTTCTTATCTGTGTGTTTCATTCCAGGGATGATGTGGATGTGGACACTGTTGCCGATGGCATCCAGAGCCATGTGCAGCAGCAGCGTTTGGGCCAGTCAAAGATCTCTCATCGCTACCACCACGTCTTGAAGGGCATGGCTGCAGAGCTATCCGACGAAGCCCTGGAATACGTAAGATTTTCTCAGAGTCTCTTGTGAACCCTGTTACACCCTTTTTAAAATTTATCAATTGTTTCTTTGTTGTAATTCATTTTCAAATTTGTTATTAGACTATAGGAGAATAGTTGAATGTTCTTGGTTGACTACTGGTTTTGTTTGACTATTTTATTACACAGGGGAATTTAAGCATGATGCTTAGGTTGGTAAAAAAAAAACTTGATTACAAAATGGGACCTTCGTCGAACAGTTGTAACTTAATCAATTTATGAAGTTTTCATAATTTTCATCGGGCATTCTCAAGAAGGTCCAAACCCAAGAGGTAGGTCTAAAAGAGCTGTGCAAAACAAGAATGTTAATCATTGAACTTGTGTTTGTTTGTCTTTCAAATTTAAGATAAATCGAGAATGGTGTTTTCGTTTTTAACTGCTGACTATTAAAACCCTTCAAACAGTTGGTATTCTATAAATTTATTACTTCCTGAACTAACAAACTTTCTCAAAAATTTTGCGGATAGATTCGAACCTTGGATGAGGTTGAGTACGTGTCTGAGGACGGTGTGGCACACGCAACAGCCCAACCCTGGGGCTTGGACCGCATTGGACAGAGAAACCTACCCCTTGATGGCTCCTTCTCAACAAACTCCGCCTATAGTAAGTAAAGAAGAAGGTCCTGATTCGGTCCTGATTGCTAGACCTTTAATCTGTCTTTTCATACATGCATGGTAATTGTATTGATTCGGCTAAAGGTTACACAAAACTGCCCAACCCAAACTGATCTTGTGCAGTCATCTTCTCATAAACACATACATTTTACAGTACTAGAATACAGCACATGCAGTGATATCAGTGAAACTTAGAAGTATGTTGGGTGAGTCAAAAATTGAGTCCCTTATTCGTGCTTGTCTCCCAGAAAAACGGGAAAGGTTACCAAGGTTATTTTTCAGCCAACAACCTGCCTGGGTATTGATCACGCTTGGCCAAATTTTCACTGATATTCAGCCATGCATGAATAGGATACAGGCCTTTCTTTGCGACTACCCGAAAACATAGTCAACACAATGTTCAGAATAGGCCTCTTGCTGTCATCACAATGGCAAGAGTGGGCCTCTGGACAATGAAGGAAATAAAAGTAACAACAGAAAAGGATATGAATGAAATGGAATTTTATTGAATCTGAATTACAGATAAGATTCACATTTTAATTGTCCCCTCTTTTTGCTGCATGCCTATACGCATCGAACAAGTCTATGGTCGTTTGTCATTTCAAAATAACCGAACTGCTGATATAAACCTTATGTTTATAGATTCTAAGCAAAACACATCATAACAGATTTGCTGTCTTAATTATTCTGCTTACATCAGCAATTAAACCAATAACGTTTTGTCTTTCAGAACAGGGAGCTGGGGTTCGTATCTATGTTCTGGACACCGGTGTTCGGTCAACACACAATGACTTCGGAGGCCGGGCTACGGCGGCATATGATGCATATGGTGGCAATGTGAGTTTTTAGCTGCCTACAGCAGCTCAACAAATCGTCGTGTCTCTCCGTTAGTTAGTTCATGGTTAGTTAGTAACAAACGTTCCAGTGACAGCCTTGCACGGGTATAAATCAACTCGTCCCTCAGGCCTTGGCAATGGGTATATGTCAACTCCTGCCTCAGGCCCATGCCCTCTTTTGTGTCACTTTGATTGGTCTCCAAAGAGGACAGAGTTGCATTATCGAGGTTTATTTCGTATTGGCTGGTACTGCATACGAATCGGGTGTTCCACCAACCATGGAGCTGTAAAAAGCTCCATGCACCAACTGACGGTCCAACATGCATGATGGGCAAGCCTTTATTTTAATTGACAGTCACAACCAAGTAAGTAATTGTGCCTTATAAGAACAGACCTTTACACTTACATGTACAGTACTTATGGGCTATAGCAGGTCCGACAGTTGGCCTGCAGCTTCCGAGAAACCAAAATAATACTGTGCTTCAGATTTGTCAAAATACATGTATATAGACTTGATGGTGACATTTGTCTTTCTGGGGTTGGACATTAAAGCACTATATAGCCTCAGGATTTGGTGCGTTTGTTTATGGTGTAAATCGAGGACACACACGTGCAACATCATAGATGAATTGAGGACAGGAACCAAATCGAGGACGACCTCGAAACGTGTACAAAACCAATGAGAGCTGTTGCAAAAAAAGTTAAGAGTATAAACAAAGGAAAGTGAAGAGGAACAATAGGAAATCCTCGATTTATACCATAAACAAACGTACGTGTGTGTGTGTGGGGGGGGGGGGGGTACAATCTTAATAACTCTACCCTGAATATGTCCCAAATGTCATTCTTCCATCTTTGTTTTAGGGTCAAGATTGCCAGGGCCATGGAACCCACTGCGCTGGCATTGCGGCAGGCAGTTATTATGGAGTAGCCAAAAAGGCAACCATCATGGGAGTGAAGGTTTTAGGAACACCAGCGTGCACTGGTTCTGGATCCTACTCTGCAATCGTCGCTGGTAGGCTGTTAAGGAAATTTTTATATTTTCGCTGGTCCCAGAGGGCCACCGACTAGTCTGGTACCCTCTTTGTACCTATCTCACCGACAGACAAACAGACCGACTGACTGACTGACTGACTGACTGCTACTTGTGACTCGAGCAGTGCTATTACAATACCCTGTAATGCCGATGAATGGGCGCAATCTTATTTACAAGTAACCCTCTCGCATTAACAAGATTGTGCACCTTCTCGAGATGGAAAACTATCCCTCGAAAGCACAAATACCCCTCCCGCAATAACAAAAATGTGCCCCTCTCGAGATGGAAAATTGGAAATAAAAACAATATACTGCTCTTCACGCGAATAAGATGGTCACTGAATTGGCCATCAAAAGCAACAGTGCCCCTCTCGCGATAAAAAAAGGCCTCTCTACATAACTAGGTAAAAGAAACACAAAGAGCAAGATGGACAACGTATTCATAATTTGTTCCTCGTCATATAGGTTTATAGCGAAATGAACGGGACCATATTCTTTTCCTCCACTTTCACACCAGCGGAAGGTACCTGTTTTTGAAGCAAGTGCCCTTTTCGGTGTTGCCCCCCCCCCCCAGTTTGAACAGCGTTCCACCGCCCTGAAGACTCATAAATATCAAATCAATGAAAAGATACCTTTTTGTACCTCAGCAGGAGCGACATCGTCTCTGTGGCTTTGTCAACTTGGACCATCACGTGACCTCTCATATGACCATGCTTGGTCACAAGAGGCGGTCGTACACCTTGATTTGATATGCACAGTCCATATAGCCTAACTTGTCATCACTTTTTAAAGCAATGCCATGATTGTTCTGCAATTTCGTATTCTTCCCCCTCTTTTTTTATCCAAATTCCTCCTGTAGGATTGGACTACGTCGTTAACTACGGACAGAAACCGGGTGTCGTATCAATGTCATTGGGAGGCCCGAAATCAACTTATATGGAGAATGCGCTCAAAAACGTAGTTTCTAACGGTTACCCGGTGGTCGTAGCGGCCGGTAACGACAATTCGAACGCCTGTTATACATCTCCAGCATGGCTATCTGAGGTATTGATGAGATGAACTTCTGCCTGTTAAAAGATTTAATATAATTCCATAAAAATTCACGGATGAAACTTAATCACACAACCGAGCATTTTCGAGAAAATATGCCCAATATTTTGGGCTACAAAAACACACGTGTACCATAACGACATTTATGAAGCACCTTAAAACGTTCCTGTTTCCAGATGTTTTCTGATTTGTTTGTCATCCTTTGTTGCCGATTGCAATGATCTAGATGGAATTGCGCGATACCAATCAATTATTATTACACCTGTTTATGGTACCTTAACAATACATTTTTTCGTCATAAATTATACCTTAGGGAGACACCGGACATTAGGGAGACATTTCAATGTCTCCCTAATGTCACAGCTCCTATTTAGAGGAAAAATTTGATCGTCAAAGCTATTTTCGAGATATACAATTTGGGTCCTGAAAATTGGAGCCGTTTGAACGCTAATGTTCTTGATGTCAGTCAAACATGTTTCTTTTGAAAACTGTTTTTTTTCAAACGCGTGTGCGCTAAACATAAAGGATGGCCACGTGTATAATCTGATGAAGTAGCTTGGGACCTGATCATTATATCACAGTAAATTATCACGTACGGCTTATGCGGTGCCACTTTATTTCTACAGTTTGGTTCAAGATTTGGTGCTTGAAATATGTGATCACTTATCATCCTATAAATTACAGAAATTAACCATCCCTGAACCAGCAACTCATATATTCCAATGCTGAAAGTTTACCCAGTCTTAATTTGTGCTTCTGTGGCATCACAGTATGAGTGATTCAAATTGGGTCGAGCAAGAACGAGACTCGACTTGACTTGACTCAAATTTGTTACATAATTACTCGAATTGAGATCGAGTCAGTACCTTGAAGAATGACTCAAGCGACTCAAATCACAAAATTTCAGTATCCTTAAAATGCAAATATGTTAACATTTTTTTGCAATACTTCTGCCGGTACAAAACTCTAAATGAATATTTGAATCCTTTTTTTCCTACGACAGGCGATCACAGTGGGTTCCACGGACACATATGACTACCGATCATCCTTTTCAAACTACGGATCATGTGTGGACATCTTTGCTCCCGGGTCCAACATCCAAAGTGACTATTACACATCTGACTCTGCCACCGTAGTAATGTCTGGAACCTCCATGGCATGTCCAGCCGTTGCAGGTAGGCACCTCAACCACAGATCTGTCATTGTTTCTCAACTCTATTTGTTAGTTTTCTTACCAAATCAGTGTTTGCTCAAATTTTGTCCCCAAATTTTGCCCCACATTTTGTTCGGTCATTTTTTTTAGTAAAAACTGTTCTTTAGCTTTTCTTCACTCTTTTCTACCCTTTTTGTTCTGTAATTTCTTCACATTGTCTTCTCTTTACTGAGACCCATGGGAGATCAGTGGATTCCACTGAATGGGCTACCCAGTTAAAATAAGAAATAAATAAATAATAAATAAATACTTTGTAATAATGATTTGATATTTTTGTTTTGTTTTGTATCACAGGCATTTCGGCTCTCTACTTGGCCCAGTCTTCCGGTTTGTCACCGAGCCAGATTAAGAGCAAACTGACGTCCGAAGCGACCTCCAATGTAATATACTATGTTGGAAGTGGCAGTCCCAATCTCCTTGCTTACGTTTCGCCATAGTCATTCCTTACCGCAGTATTGCCAGGTTATTGACAAGCGAAGATAGACATATAAACTCCGGTCAAACATGTTAAAATAATTGTCTTAAAATTTGGACTGATTTCTACTGGACTTACAGTGCAAACTGAAAGGCTTGTTTTAAACGTCTGCGGAGATCAAATTAGCCACAGCTAATCGGGGTAATTTCATGTAAGTTAAACTAGGAAACAGATTATTTAAAGTGACGATATCACGTTTATTTTGAAATAAATTTCAAATGAACCACACAGGGAAACTGACTGTGAATTATAACCCTTGTATAGCATTTGCAAATTTTGATCCCCGTTTGATTTGTCCCACTGGTCTGTATCATGACTTTGGGCGTGATCCCTGGCTGTGTACTAGTTTATGGCTTCTGACTAGCACCCCTTAACAAACATATTGACTAATTGGGGAACCGCCAACATAGGGCTGGATAGCTCGGTTGGTAACTGCACCGGAACGGTTAAATCTGGAGGTCGCATGATCAAGCCCCGCTCCAGTCAATTTCTTTGTTCAACTTTTCAATTATTTTGAAAAAGAAAAATCGTCTTGTCTTTTGTTTGAGTCAGATGGGGTAAATTTTCACACGACAAAGTGACTGGTTATTGTAATTCCACACAGTTTCAAATGGGTTTTGAAATTGAAATTAAAACAGCGTGTCCGATATTAAACTAGAGATTTTCAACCATTTAATTTCAAGAGTTCATCCTTAATATTGCCAATAGTAATGTAGTAATGGCTATGGATCTGTGTTATCACGGTGCAATAAAAATAAATGGTACAATCCTCTGAAATCAAAGTGCAGTCCTTTGACTTTTTAAATTAGTTCCGGACAATTTTCACAATTGGTGTCGGGGCAGAGCAGTTGTGCATGGTGCACCTGTGCTGTGTACTAATGTTCTATTGCGAAGTCTCTGGTAATGACGGTCAAATACAAATGTAATGCAACAGACCTTTGCTGTCGTCCGAGCGGTTTATTATTTACATGTATTTGAAGTCATATCCCCTTGGAATCAGCACCGGTCTGTCATTGGCCAGCGTGGCGACAGTATGCAGATTCCAGTCTCCCTGCTTTAATAGTGCAGAGCAATTATCACTTACACTATTTGAATACACCAGCGAGAGAGAGACACGGAACGCGTCTGTATATAGTTTCAGTTCCAAACCAGTTCTCCGTTTATTTAACTCAACATACATGACTAGCACCAACTAGCACCATCTCACTTTGAATAAATTGTCCTAAACCCGCCCCTGTCATTGTGATTGGATTGTTTGATCCTTACCTTATCCCTGATTGGCTGCAAGTTTCGTGGAGCGTGGTCACTGCACGGTCGAGTCACAAGAGGGCGCACTCATTTTCCACCTGTAGTAAATGCATGGGTACGACTGCAGGTCGTCACAGTAATCATGGAACTTTTTCGGCCTGGCTCTTTTGTTTAGGGCCCTGACCCCCTCCCGTTTCCACCAATGCGTGTTTCGTTACAGTCTGCTGCCCCCATCCCATCCCTCCCCACCCCATAGTTACATTTTGGATTCGTTGCCCATAGCTTTTTTGATGTTGTTGTTTTTTTAATCCACAAAATAAGTTATTTGTTTTTGCAAATAAAATTTGCTGCCATCTGAAAAACGTCATTTCAGCTCTAGCATGGCTGATTCTCATGTATAGAGTGGGCAAGGGCGGCCCCAGAACCAATTTTTCGTAGCGGGGGGGGGGGGGGGGGCTCGAGTGTTTTTTTTTTTTAAAAGGGAAGGGGATTGAGTGTAATTCGTGCGCTGTTTCCACATTGTAATATTTAAACTAAAACTAGGTATGTTTAGCTACGCAACATTTGATTTATGTCCAGAAAAGGGGGGGGGGTTGGGGGCGGGGGCACGGCCCCCGTTGGGCCCTCCCCCGGATCCGCCAATGTGAGTGGTTTTAATAAGTTATTCACCAATCATCTCTGTTACTGTGTACCTGGTACTCATTCTTTTATTGAAAGAAATGGTCTGCATAAGTGATGAAAACAAATTAGCACGAGTAGGAAAACAGCTAACGTGACTTGTATGCCCTCTTCACTGTATATGTGCGTCCACTGTTTAAACTGCAGAATGTCAGAACAGTGACCAGACATCCAATAAAACGTCACAATCAGTGTTTACTGAAAGACTCCGAGTTTTCTTTTTTTTTTCTTTTTTCAAAGTCTGGGAAAATGCCATGTTTGTATCTTAATTGCTCAGTCGTATCATGTACATGTTAATTTATTAACTTAATTTGTAAACACATTGTTCCGGGTTTTGTACAAGCATGTGCTGGACCCCTCTTATCATTTTTGTTATCCTTCAAATAGATTATATTTACGTGAGGTCCTCAACAACACCAGTTGACAAAGACACCGTGATGGTGTCGCAAGCTCCTGATATGAGTTCTTGTGATCAAAGTCCCAAAAAGGTATCTTTTATTTAATAGATTATATTTAATTATGTTTTGTGATGATTGTGAAAATAATAATTGCCGGTAATGGGGTAATAGGGAGACTTTCCCATAGACTTGTGCACAACAAATTTCCGAATTAAATGTGCACCAGACAGAATATTCCCTTGTCCTTTTTCCACGAATTTCGGTATTTTTACTAATTAGACCACGAGCAACAGATATAACCTAATTTCGACGGCAAAAGTTTGCCTCTAAAGGGGGGCTGCGCCAATAGAGGTGTCTCCCTATAAAGCCCGTGTCTCCCTACTATCGAAATTTCTACGCTAACGTGTCTCCCTAATAGTACATTTGTAGGAATAAACCACAATCCATATCACATAATAGGTTATACCATCAGAGCAACAAAAAAGTCATTTGCAATATTGTATAATTTTGGAAAAAAGATAACGGGTTATATCCCAGCAATGTGTGCAAAATTAATTTTGGTCAGACATGTCATGTGTCAAGGGGGGGGGGGGGGGCTCCCACCAACCACTCCCTAAATTCAAGAAGGGGTGATGTGAATTTGAAGGTATCACTATGTCTTTTTTGTCCACCTTGTGCTGGTCCCAGAGGGCCAGCTTAGTGCCCTTTTTGTATCTATCTGACTGACGGACTGACTGACACTTGTGACTAAAGCTGGTTGTATGCCCAAGAGAGTAGAGTGAAGAAGCGGGCAGTGCTATTATATAGGATTACTACCTTATTGTCAATGGATGCACTGTAAAAAATTTGCCCGTAATTAGCTAATTTGGTTCTCCAAGTTCTGCAATATTAAAGCATTACGGCTTTGATAGCGCAATGATCAGCACCTAGCGAACCTTGCGTGAGTGCACACGAATCACAGCTTTAAAAACTAGGCGGTTGTGAGGGTTTGAAAGGGGAGGAGTTTTGAAAAGTTACGAATACAAAGCATTGTGAATCCCAGCCTGCGTCAGGGCACCAAGTTTTACGGGAAATTCACGTAGCACGTTCTTTCTTGTGACGGTTCGAGCAATAACGGTAATAAACCGTAAAAAATACGGGAAACGGACAGTGTTTTTACGGGTTTTGTTTACAGTGTGGGCTAAATCCGGTCCATTGTGTAGACCATATGAATCGCAAGACTTCCAGTGAATTGCCATTCTTTATCAGTTGAATAGCATGTTAACAGTTCAATAGAATAGACTTAGACTGGCATGTGTCTAGCTTAGTAAGTAAGATTTGAAACTTTGCATCGCGGTATTGCAAACTAGTGAGGGTTTCGGTATAAACACCATGTGTATAGAATCTCTTTTGGGAAGATGTATGGTACTGAAAAGAACAGGTTGATTGTGATTGTGAAACTCGAAGTGATCAATCACCCCCCTACTCCCAACCAATGAGTATCCTATATACACGGCTACCTAGCCCATTTCCCCGGCAAATGGAGCTCCTGTATATACCCTCTGCCAACCTATACCCTCTGCGGACACAGCTCAGTAAGCACAACCCCCACTCCCCCACCAACAACATCCCAACCACGGCACGCCGCGCCTCAGCGATCAAGCTCCAACCTCCTCATCGCCACGCCCGTTCACAACCTTCAGCATCCACAACTCCATGCCTCGGTAAATCCCTAGCCCTTACCCTAGCCCTATACCTAATCCTTTGAGGCGTCGGACCAATGTGACTTCGGACCAATGTGACGTCGGACCAATGGGACGTCGGACCAATGGGACGTCGGACCAATGGACTTCGGACCAATGGAACGTCGGACCAATGGGACGTCAGACCAATGGGACGCATACCAATGGAACGTACAGAGCAATGGGCCGTCGGACCAATGGGACTTCGGACCATGGGACTTCGGACCATGGGACTTCGGACCAATGGGGCTTCGGACCAATGGGGCTTGGACCAATGGGACGTCGACCAATAGTACTTCGGACTATAGAGACGTCCCCGGGTGGGGTTGCCCCCCCCCCATCAAAAATTGGATACGCCTTTATCATCAAGTGAGCATTTCTATCATATTTTGCACCAATCTGCCTGACTGACTAAATGGAGATGAAAGGGAAGGAGTGGACATCGTCCGAACAATAGATACTAGAGTGTGATGGTGGCAATTCCCAGTTCCTCCCCCCCCCCCCGCTCCGAACCCCCCCCCCCCCATGCCTCTCGTCAAGGAAGTGTTTTTTTAGTATATTTTTTAGTAATTAATCAGATGCCTCCTTTTTTTTAAATTCCCTTTTCGAATTTTGGGGAAAGGTCCTTGGTTCGCCCTTGGTGTCCCCTGACCCTCATAAAATGCTGGACGTGCCCCCCCCCAAAAAAAATAAGGCTACGCCCACTGGTGGCATTGACAGGTTATTGACAATCGGAGGTAGACATTTCAACTCCAATTACATTTTAAAATGTTCTTAAAGTTTTGTTTGATTTTTAATGTAAAGTAGAAGTCTCGTTTTAAACCTCCACATTGGTCAGGGATATTTGGGTACTTTCTTGAATAATTTCTTGTGAGTTAAATTAGGAAACAGACAGACGTTTTGACAGAGTGAACAAAAAAAAGAAGTTATTTAAAATTGTAC